CACACACACACACACACACACTTTGGGGTTTTAACTCTGACGCGCAAGTTTGACATTCTCTTAAGTCCCTGGATGCTGCAAAACTGACCTTAACGCGCCCAAAGATTTTCATTCCCACATTCTCCTTATCCACCTCTTAATGTTTCCAGGACCCAGTTTTAAGAAAACACGGGAGTTCGGTCCCAGGGTATCTATCCTCCTCTAGAGTTCTGCCAACACAGCCCGAGTGAAACGCATTTTTACTTTCGATTACTTCGAAATGGACAAACTGTGTGAGGCTTCCGATGAAGTCAGTGGGACTTAAAGATGTTAGCATTTGCCCTTTTGTGTTGTTGTCTGCAACAACACAAAAGCAACATGAGAAGAGCGCCAATTGGCCAGCCAAAGCAAAACTCTGCTTAGGTTCTCCTGAAATCTCTCTGGTCACCAAAGAATCCCCTTTAGCGTTTCTCCTCTGCCCTCCTAGTTAGCTTGCGAGCTTTCTTTGGGTGAGGAAAACCGTTATTCTCATTTGTGACCCAACTTTTGGAGGCTCCGAGCACCTTCTAGGGTTTGACTGTTATTCTTATTTTCCTCTCCCCAACACTTTTAAGACTCCCTCCACTATTCAGATCTGAAACAATAACACACCACACTCTACAAAACTGAACTGTGCTGGTGAATTATGAATGAATCTTTACCGGGGCAGACAAGTTCCTACCACAAGTGTCTGAAAATCAAATCAATTCTGCTGAACCAAATACCCCTTCAAAAAAGCAGTCTTCTTATCAAGGTATTTCTAAATATCAGCCAAGCAAGTGATGATGTTCTCATATATACGGACAAAATCCACAAAACCTGATCCAGGCAGACTAATAACTAGAGGTCTCAAACATGCTTGCAAACTTTGGGGTTCTTCTCCAGAGCACTTTCTTAGCTGAGAGGTTAAAAAAAAAAAAAAAGGTAAGGAGAGGCAGAGAAGTAGCTGACTATGCCCAAACTTCATGGCTTCTAAGCTCCATCCTCATCTTTTTTTGAAAAGAGCCTTCAAAGAGGTGGGGGAAGGTTTACAAAGAATATTGTGACTGCTTAAAATATTGTCATTGTTTTACAACTCGGCAACTTTTCAATAGTTCCTCTAGGATGGAATTTTTCCTACTGGTCACAACAACCTCCTTGGCTTCTACAAGGCATTCACCTTAAGGTCCTGATCTTTGGTTCTTCACTCCATGGGAAGAGACTTTGCTTTCCATAAAGCAGGGGTCTCCAACCTTGGCAACTTTAAGCCTGGAGGACTTCAACTCCCAGAATTCAAAAGGGAATTCTGGGAGTTGAAGTCCTCCAGGCTTAAAGTTGCCAAGGTTGGAGACCCCTGCCATAAAGGATCTCCTTCCTTTCTTTCCTCTTGTTGCTTTCTTAGAAGTGAGAGGAACCAGCCATGCAACAGGCCTCTGGGTGGCTCATAGAGCAAATTAAGACTAGCCAATTAAAGGCAAATTAAGGCAGACAACTAACAAAAACCCTGCTCAGTCTTTTCTTCAAAGGATCCCCCTTCTTTCTTTCCTTGCTCTCCTACTGTGTTCCAGTGATGTCTTAGCCTCACAGTGACGCTGCCAAAGGACAGAGGAGCTTTTCCCTCTAGGGAGGCCTGCTTTCAAGTCCATTGTTAGACATTCAGATTCAAGCACAAATACTCCCCCAGCACCCACCCGTTATATGTCATGTGATGCCGAAAAGCTTTAACGGTTTTGAGTGATGGCCTGGTTCACATAACGTGCTAAGATAAAGACTGGACTGGAGCACAAGTTAGCCAGTTGTATTTATCTTGGTCCAGCATGTTGTATGAATCTAACCCCCAGGTCTTGTGTTTATCTTTGGCATTGTGCATTAGGTATGCATGCATATATGCAGGGGTGGGCTTCAAAAATTTTAGCAAAGGGTTCTCTGCCCAGTTGCTGGGTGGGAATGGCCATGGTAGGTGTGGCCTAGTTGGCCTCATGCACCACGACAGGGGTGGTGGTGTGTGTTTTGGCCTTCCCTGGGCTTCAGAGGCTTTCTTTGACCCTCCAGGAGGGCCAAGACAGCCTCCCCTGGGTTCTGGAGGCTCTCTGGAGGCTAGAAACTGGCCCATTTTCAGCCTTCCTGAACTTCCGGGAGGCCTGTTTTTCAGGGAGGCCTGTTTATGTGTGCAGGGGGGGGGGCCGGGGGGGGGGGGGGGGGGGGGGGGGGGGGGCCAGCCTGGAGTGGGATTTAGGTGTTCTCCGAACTGCACAGAATCTTAGCTAGGGGCTCTCCCGAACCCCTGCGAACTCCCAGCAGCCCACCCCTGTTGTGTGTGTGTGTGTGTGTGTGTGTGTATGCATTTGACTTTTTTTTCTCAACACTTTATTGGGTTTTTCCGTTTATACATAATACCATTACTAATTGAACAACGCTGTGACAGTATATATACATTTATACATCCTATCCAATCTTTCAATACACACTACTTCCATATTCTCCTAACTATTATATACATTATTTACATTTTCTATTCTTATGTCATTGTCAATCCAGATATGTTTCTCATATTGCATTGTATTCCATGTCAGGTTTCCTCACCTGCCCAAACAAATTTAGTAATTGTTCTGTTTAATTCTCTAAAAAAAATTCTTATCTAATTTTATTGGGGCTGTTTGAAATAAATATAAAAGCTTTGGCAAAACATTCATTTTAAAATCCCCCATTTTTCCAAATCCTTTTTAATTTGATTACGTAATTTTGTATAATTGTCTCCTTTTATTGAGGAGCATTTTGCTGTTAACCATAGTCCTAGGTATTTTTTTTTTTTTTTTGTAATTTGTAGTCCCATTACACTTTCTTCTTAACACCTTCTTGTTTTTAGGTATCATATTTTTCACCAACATTTTAGTTTTGTCCCTATTAATTTTGAGTCCTGAGACCTCTCCATATTTCTCTAATTCCTTTATCAGAATTGGACCTGATTCTAATGGCTCCTCAATAAAAAAAAACCAAATCATTCACAAATGCTTGCAATTTACACTCTTTTTAATTTTTTGTTCCTTGTATTTCTGAGTTTTTCCTAATTTTTATTAATAATGTCTCTAATGTCAAAATAAAGAGCAGAGGTGACAATGGGCATCCCCGGTGAACTCCTTTTGTTATTCTAAATGTCTTTGTTGTATCTCCGTTTATTATTACGTTAGCCTTTTGGGAAGAATAAACTGTTTCTACTAATTTTTCAAATCTATCTCCTAATTTCATTTCCCTTATCTGACGTATCATGAATTCCCAATTTAAATTATCGAACGCTTTTTGTGCATCCAGGAAAACAAAGGCCACTTGTTTTCCTGGGTGCATTTCACAATATTCTAATATGTTCATTACTATTCTGATATTATCTCTTATTTGCCTATACGGCAAAAATCCATTCTGATCATTATGTATAATTTCATTTAAAATCTTCTTCATTCTTTCTGCCATGATACTCATAAAAATTTTGTAGTCGGCACTCAAAAGCGAGATTGGTCTATAATTTTTGATTTGATTAACATTGGTACCTTCTTTCAAAATCAAGGTAATATATGATTCCCTCCACGATTCAAGTATTTTGCATTTAACAAAGTCTCGTTGCATACCTCCAGTAGTACTGATTTCAATGATTCCCCTAATTTTTGATATAATTCTCCTGATAAACCATCTGTCCCCGGGGTCTTATTTTCCTTTTGTTTTTGAATCGCTTCCTTCAATTCTATTAATGTAATTTCTCTATTTAATTTATTCCTTGTTTCTTCCTCAATTATTGACATACTATCTTTTTTAAAATATTGATCTATTTTCTCTATTGCTATTATTTTTTAACTATAAAGATCTT